GGGGGAGGGGTGCTGCTGAAACCGCTGAAATGGGGCGCGCGAACACCGCACCGCAATTGTTTTGGACTTATGGAGAGCGGCGGAGCACGGCGCGCGGTGAGCAGGTGACTCGCTGACTCGCGTGGTCGCGCCGCGCCTTCTAGGGAGGCCTGTGTGGTCCCGCGGGCAGGGGGGCGGGAGGAGGAGGAGGGGCGGTGGTGACCCAGGAAGGACCCGGCTCCTGGGGCAGCCAGTGACCCAATAGGAGCTCGACAGTGGGCGACCATCATCGCGAGCGGTATAGGGAGACAATGTGAGTGACTGTGGTAGAGCCGGGCAGAGCTCGCATTCTTTACTTCCGTCCAGCGAGCGGCGGCGGCAAGGTCTCCGGCCGCCAACCAGGTGCTGCCATAGGAAGCGAGCCGGGTAATGGTCTCGTGTCATGTGGGTTCAAAGTCATGGGTTCCAGCTGTGGACTCCAGGCGTGGGACCAGGCGTTGACAGCAGTAGGCGTTGACTCCAGCCGTGGACTCCAGCCGTGGACTTCAGTCAGTCGTGGGTTTCCATAGCAGTAGCCATGGGTTGCCAAATGACTCCAGCCGAGAGCCCCAGCCACGGGCTCCAGCTCCAGCCAGGCTCCAGCTCGCAGCGTGCGTTGCCAGCGGCAGAGGCAGGCAGTCGGCCGCGCGAGAGTTCCGGAGCTTGAACATTACGCACCAAGCCATTCGCACCCGAGCCAACTTCCGCGCGGGACAGCCCCCCCTCTCTCTTTGCCTCTGTCGCTCTCTCACTCTGACACATGCACGCCCAACAACGCCCACGCGGCTCAGTACTGCGAGTCCCCGCGGCGCGAGCTGCGCGTGGAGCTCGGCGTCAAGGCTCGCCCCGCCGCGCGCCCGCCCCGCCCCGTCGGACTTGCATGCAGCCATCCCACCGGAAAGAGAAACTGAGAAGGCGCGCAGAAGCAGTCAAAGGCAAAGGCAAAGGCGGGCCTCTGCAACCAGACGCGGCGCCAGGTTACAATAAAAACGAACGCGCTCTATGCTGGCCCCGATACCGACGGCGACGGTCTATCTCTAAATAGTCTCTATACCCGCGACGTCGGCGGCGTCGATACGACAGGAAAAAACCCGACTGCGGCGCGTGGAGCATGGATGGGCAGTGTGAGTAAGTAATGCGAGTCATCCGGGCTCTCATCATGGGCTGGTTCATGGAGCGGCGAGGTTGGGACCGACCGATCGTTTCATATTCAGTGTGGCATGGCAGTCCGGGGGGCATTACCGGCAGCCGAGAGCCGCGCTACGGCAGTGGACGTCCCCCCTCTACTCTCCTTTTCTTGTACACACACACACACAGACACACACACGAAAGCCCATGCCCGCCAACGCACAATTAAGTGCCCGCCGGCGTAGCGTGCATGGTGGCGGCGGGGCCGTGGCCGGGGCCGTGCTGATGGCTATTTAGGTAGGCGACGCGGCCGGCTGGCGCGGCGGTGTCCGATGTCGCCGGACGAGACACACACGATGATGAAGCAGAGGCCTGCATGCTCGGCCATCTTATTCCCCCGCTGCTGGCTTTGCCCCCCCCTGAGAGTTTCCTCGACACAAGTAATTGTAGGTAGTACGCAGCGTCTGGTGCCTTTGTTGCAGGCGACGCTCGGCTCGGGCACTGCGTCAGCGCGAGGGGGGCTTTGGGAGAGGGACACACGGGACACACGTGTGCAGCCAGACCTCCTCTCTGAGAGCGGACCGTCCAATTAAGCACAACGAAGAGCGCGTGGAGGAGCCGGCCGCAAGGTGACGCAAGGCAGAGATGTAGCAGAGGCCGTGCGCCCGTGAGCCGCGCTGAGCCACTGCACCGCCGGCCGCCGCCGAGCCGAGGCCGAGGCCGAGCCAGAGCAGCAGAGAGGAGAGAAGAGTGGCCAAGGACACAGAGTGTCGTCGCCCAGCCGCAAGAAGAAGGGGTCGAGATAAAGGGGCCGGGGTGGGTAGTAGTTTTTCTGTGCTTTCAAATAACCCCGTCCCGTCGCGTCCCCGTACGTACTCACATTCCGATACACGAACGCCTCCTGCTGGGGACGCGCGGTGAGGTATGGGCGTCATCGTGCGTCGCCTCGGCGCCGGCGCACGGCGACGCCCGGTAGAGAGGCGACGCTTTCACGAGCAGGGCGCCGCGGAGCAGTGCTTCCCCGGCACTCGCGCGCGCTCTCCCGCGTGCTCGCACATATTGGAAGTCACGCGAGCCTTTCGCCCGGGCATTTCGTCGGGGCGCACTCACCCGCCGCGCGGACCGACGGACGGGCGAAAAAAAAAGGAAAAGAAATTTGAGCACGATGGCGTGACGGCGAGGCGCGTGGCCACCACGTGGCCACGCATCTCTTTACAGCCCAGCTGCAAAACAAGTACCCCGCGCGGGACCAGCTGCAGGGGGGAGGGGGGTTACCTTCGGCTAAAGGGCCCAAAGGGCGACACGGCGAAGCCCCGCCAGACAAAATCGAATTAGCTCCCGTCATCGACCCCCTCCCCCCCACTCCCTCTCCCAGTCCCCCTCGTCTACTGTCTGCTTCCGCTCCCTGCATCCGCGCGATGACGAATCAATCTTTTGAATAATAAAGACTACTGGCCCAGAGAGAAAGAGAGCGCTGATGCTGGGTCTATACAATAGGACGAGGTGAGGCGCGTTCCGCACGTGTCGAGAACCAGCGGTCGCGACCGAGCGGCGATCGGCAGCGCTTCGGCTGCACTTCGTGGTTTGTGAGATCCCTGGGCCGCATAAGCGACGATGGGGCACCCCGGCTCGGCTCGGCCCGGTGGACAAAGGCCCGGCTGGACCCGTCGCCTGCTGCACCCGGCTCGAGTCAGGTAGCACTGCGCTACGGCAACTCAAAGAAATCGCGCGCGGACGCCTCCGAGTGGTGGCGGTGTTCGTTGTCTTTGTCGCACCACTGAGTCGGGGCGGGAGCGGGAGAGAGACCTCCGCTGGACTTCGCGGAGGTGTCCCTCCCCCACCGCCGCCCTTCCTAGCCAATAGGCGCGCAGAAGAGAAGTCGCCAGCGCGCTTATGCACGGGGGTCCGGGCCGATGCAGCTCTGAGCCCAGCGGACCCGGCACGGTTTTATTGCCCCCATAAGCGCTCTCTTTCTCTCTGTACTGGCCACGCAGACGCAGCGTTCTGGGAAAGTCTGGAAAAAGAGAGGGGGGAAGGTAGGAGTGGGGGTAGGGGCACTGTCAGAGGAAAGGAGAGGCAAACGAGGGGAACAAGGAGTGGTAATGCATCGGCACAGACTGTGGGGAGTGAAGGGGAGGGAGAGGTCTCGGCGCGCTCGTGCGGTCTCGTAGGTCGTGAACAGGTTGTGATACCTCAGCACTCACGCCTGCTTGGGCTGGAATACCTCGACGATTGGGGGAGGGGGCGGGGCATGGGGGCGCTATGTGGAGGTGTAGTAGGTGGGTGTATAGGTCGCACGGTGAGTGTGTTCGGACGCGGGTACGCTCGCCGCAGGTAGGTAACACGACGCCCGCCCCTGACCCCGGACACTACCTACCTGGCGTTCCAAAACCTCCGACATCCGCGCGCCGGTAGAGCCCCTTGTTGTTCCCACGCAGCGCACACACTGCCGAAAAAAGGGTTCAGCGTTTCATGTGGACCCTCCGGCGGGGCTTGGCGTCTCCCCTCCCCAGGGCGGTCTCAGTTTCATCCTGTTCAGAGTGGGCTGTCCAGGTTGTCCCCGCGGTTCTTGCTATGGTCCCGACCGCAACAGCTGGCGAGCAGCGGAGCGGGCGGCATGGCGTCGACGTGGGAGAGTCCTGAGACGGGCCGGGTCCACCGGAGGTGAGGCGAGGAGGCCCGTCCTGGACATTGGGAGCAATCGGGGTGGTGGTGGGTGGGGTCAAGCCCCTCTGCCGGCAGGATAAAGGACATCCGACTCGGCACATCCGCCATGCTACGCCACGCCGAGCAGCGCGCACACCGCCCCGTAGGACGACCGCAAGGCGTTCAAACTTCTTTGCTGGTAAAATGTCAACCAGAAAGTACGTCCATCATTCGATTCTCCCTCATGATCCTGTAAAGTGTATAGTAGCGTATACAAGCTCTCGTAGCGCCTGATACATAGGCAACATCTGGCCTGCAATGCATGCGAGTTCTGCCGGGTGGCCTACCCCGAACCTTGCAGGCGCCGAGCCCCCTGTTATTAGCCGAACGAATCTTCTTTCTGGACAATCCCAAAACCCCAAATACAAGGTGGGTGTTCGCGCCCCTTCTGGTTTAATGTGAGTCTGTGAGGCCTGCAGGCGAACAGACGGGTTGCATACTCGCACAGGGCCGCCCTACGGCGTCGTGGTGAGAGTCGGTAGGCTAGGCAAGCCCACACAAACGCCTGCTAGGACTCTAACGCCTCCATGCGGCAATGTCAGTGTTCGTTTGGTTGGATCTGTCGCTATATGAGGAAAACTTGATGTTCATTACCTACTCCGTCCCCGAGCGCATGACACCGCCGACGTTGCT